GCGGATGTTTTCAAAGAAAGTAAAGAATTTTTTGGTGCATATATGTTGGGGAATTATATGTGCGGATTCAGATTAATCACATACTTGTTATGGATCCACAAATGCAGTTTGATGTTATCTGTTTTAACACTGATATTGTAAATTATTTGCCGGCACAGATGCATGATATGTGTACAAAAAGAAGATTACAAAATTTGAATGGAGGTTGTGGTATGAATGGTGAATCTAAGCCCGGAAAATTCTTTGCACTATCTATGTAGGAAACATTGGTGCATCGAAATATGTCTAGAATTTTGAAACGTTAGAAAGGTTTGAGGGAAGAATTGATAATTGTCTCATACATCATTGAGCTTCCATGTTCCCTTAATTCTGTGCATATAGATGCACTAGTTGGCGTTTGATATAATAGAGATTTTATGTGGTATTGCTGTTTCAGGGTTCAATTGAGAATTTTGACTTACATTATCACTTGATTGGTGACTACACGCTCATGAACATGTCCATAGGCACTTTAATGCTTAGATGTATGTTTCATTAAAAAAAAAAAAGGTGCTTTTTTTTTTGTCAAAAAAGGGGAAAAAAAAAGCATAGGACGACATGATTGATTCATGATTTTGTTTCTCATTCAATTGCATGACCTGTGAGTATGTTTCTGCTTTACATGCTTAATGTTTGACTTTATTTGATAATCTCTTAAGATGTATCTTTTGAAGTGAACAATCAACCTTAATTTACTGAACTTGATAGCTTTTTTATTCCGATAATAATGGCATTGATATAGTAGTGTTGATGAATTTGATGAATTCATGATTTGTAAAATGAATGAGTTGATTTAGTTTTGTCAATGGATTATGGTGATTTAGATTCTTTATTATTGATTTTGTATGCTGTTCGAAGTATTGATTTACATTATGAATTTACCTACATTATTATGCATACTCTGTTGGATAAATCAATTTGAGAAATAAGTGGCAGTAATTGAGAGTTCTGTTTCTATAGTTGAAGACTGGTACTTTTGTTAAACTTCTGTGCTTTTTCTTCTATCTCCTTGAGCAACAACTATATTTTGGCTGAAACCAGTGTTTCTATTTCATTGCAGAAATCATTCGAAAGGTCTTCCAAAGAACATCACGAGGGACATGAATTGAAAGCTGTTTCGTAGATGGTGAATAAGAACATTTTGTAACAGGAGTTTTAGTGTTTGACTTGAAACCAGCTCTTAAGAAGGCTGTTTTGGCAATTGGCCTCATGTGTGGGATTGCTTTACAGGCTTGTCTGTCCATGCTGCTGACATGTACAGAGCAAAGTTTGTGATTTCCTTGAAGAGGAGAGGAGCAGGTGGTAGTTACCTGCCGAAGATAATTTGAGGAGGAGACTGTGGAGTTGGCTTGGTGAATCATCTTTTTTTTTTTTTGGGTGGCGAAAAGTAATGCGAGTGTATCGCTGTACTGAGTTTCTGTAAATGACCAAATTTGATTTGGAGTTTGTATATTAGCGTGAAGTGAAATATAGTAGTGTTTTCAGCGAAACCAAAGCATTAATTCATCTTCTTTTTTTTTTTAATCCTACGATTTTGTTACTCGAAACACAAGCTACATGATTCCCATTTTATCAGGAGGGTATAACTACGATTTCAAGCACTTGAATTTATGACGTCCTCCCTGGCAAGGCTCAGCTGCATTTGAGATTTTTAGTTGGGCTACACATTCCCCTCCGCTCTTTAGAAGAATTCAGGGTTTTGAGTTAGAAACCATTTGGCTAATTACAATTTATCCTCGCAACATATACCTTTTAGTTTTCAGTTTATTCCCACCTAATCTGTGTTTTTTGGTGCGCTTAACTCTGCTCGAACAAAACTAAAAAATTTTTTTTTTAACTTACGCGCTCTGTCATGCTGACGTTTTTTACTATTCTCTCTCTCGTCGCATCTCTCCCAAATGTAAGTTTTCTTTTTTGAATTTTTTATTTAGAGCAAAATAATAGAGTGCAAGATAATGTCTCGAGACCACAGAATGTTGAAAAGATTTGACTAGTGAGCTGAATGCGGATCGACTTTGATAGGATTAGGGATCTGAGGTAAATTCATGCTGGCAATCTGGGAATGCCATTATGTGGTTAATGCGCAATAATAATAATCTGGTTGTTGCGAATGGACACCCACACACTCCACTCTCTCACCAGCAGAAGTTGCAGGGGATGCAGAACATGTTAGAGCTGTGTCCTCTAGCCAAAATACGATTCTGAATGAGCATCAGAAAAGTCCGGGGATTTACTTCTTGTAGTCTTGTAGCTTATTATGTCATTACTACTTGTTGCTTCTTCTTGTGTTAGTATCAGTTTAACGTAAAACTGGAAAAGTGTCCCTTGGCTCTTGTTTACTGGCAATCTACGTAGCAACTGAAAGTAGTGTTTTGAGTTGCTACTGTCGCTACGGCTTCCTCTTTGAGGAAACTGACACCTTTTGAAATTAAATTCAATAAACAATTTATGATGGTTGTTTGTAAGAATAAAAACTAGAGTCTGTCTGTGTAACAGAGTGAGTGCTCGTAGGGCACGCGTTAAGATATATTTCAAGTATCTTATATTTGGAAATGTAAGATTAATTAGGAAAAGTGAATAAATACAAGGGAGAATAGGTAAGGTTAAATAAGAAAAAATTAATGTATTATAAACGTTCAATTATTTACTAATTTTTAAAAATTTGTTTACATACTTCACTATAATATGATAATATACATCAAATCATGTACCCCATATCAAAAAAATTGGTAGATATTCTTTTTTTTTTTTTTTTACAAATATTCTTTTAGAACTATAATTTAAATTTTTATAATGACCACAAATCTAGAACTATATATTCATATTTAATTAAGTAGAAAAAAATCTAGCAATTCATTTTTCTTCATCGATAAATATTTAGTTTCCAACAATATATATTGATAAATCAGTCGGTGTAACAATTAATTCTCTTTTGTACACTAAGTTAATTCAAAATTCAGGGAAGAAATGATGAACAATTTGACTACTAATAAATGGTATGATGGTGAAAGGAAGCAATTTGGGATATGTAAGATTTCAATAATTGTGATTAAAAAAGTAATTTGGAATATGTAAGATTTTAATAATTGCTATTTGAAAATGATTTTACTATAGTTCTATATGTAATAATTTGATAGAAAGCAAAGATTAGTTGTTTTTTTTTTAAGCAATATCATTAAGAGATAATTAGAGATAATTTTTAAGCATATAATATAATCCAAATAGGATTTAATATGGGTAAAACCTAAGTGATCCACAATCCATTAATTCTCTTCAATTAGACATGTCACATAGGAGTGAGAAACAACTTTAGTTAAAATAGTTACTAATATACATACATACATACATATATATATATATATATATATATATATATATAGATTGTGGGCATGTGCTAAACTTTTGAAGGGCCTCCCCAAAGTATATGAATCATAGGCCCAACTCTCTAGCCCCAACCGGTTTTTGGGTTAATGACATTTATCTTGTCTTCCTTGAGGTTTATCCAAACTACAAATCAAACCTTTAGATTTGATCAATTAACATAACCACCCTTAAACTCTCGAAAGTCATAATTCAAGGCCCCTAAGGTTGTCAACAAATTTGAGCACTTCAATTTCCAAAGTACCAATTATCTCTGACCATTCTACTACTTTCCTTCCTTCCTTCTCCAAGCAAAACCGCAGGCATCAATCTAATATCATCAGTGGTTTTATTTTAGGTGATTTTATCCACATTCAACCCCAATTTACTTCATCAACCCTATACTAATCTTTTGGAGTCTATTGTAGTTTAAGAAAATTATCAATAAAAAAATTGTCGATAAAATATTTCAAGTCTCCATACAACTTATGAAAACATACTCCTTCAAATCATAAAATAGACTTATAGTTTTGAATTCCAACCAAAAATGAAAATAACGAAAGATACAATAATTATATTAACAAATAAAACATCCTATTTCTTGTTATTGACACACCACCAAAATTAAATTGTGAACAACAAAGTTGTTAATCCAGTTATGATATGTCGAATCCTTAGAATTTCAATAATTAAAGCTTGAATATGTGCCTCTTTTTTATGGTTTTAAAAAGGTATGACTTGCTATATTTTTTTCTCATGAAATTGGTTTAACTTGCGATTCTATTAGAAGAGTAGGTGTTACGAGAAAAATAAAATAACATTGAATGTGGTGAAACAAGGGTGAAATAAATATAGGCTTGAGGGAAAAAAAATAAAGAGAATATGATCGTTTCCTATCTGCATGTAGATTGAAAGATGAGAAAATATATAGCAAGAGTTTGAAATAAATGGTTCTTTTGACATTTTCTTCCTTCTGTTTGTGGGTTTTGGATGGTATCACTGACTAGGGGTTTGATATTACTTGTTCAAATTTCAAGATTTATTTCATAGTTTGTTTAAACCTTAGGGGGTAAATGTAGTTAACTCCTTTTTTTTTATATATATATATATATAAATGTGGCCCACAAAGAAGTCCAAAATTCTACAAGAAAAACCAAAAAATGCCTAAACAAATAAGGGTTAATTTCCACCATGCACCCTTTAACTATATATCCAAACATTCTTGTATCTAAACTTTAAAATGGAACACTTTATTATCTAAATTATAAAGTTTGTTCCACTTTAGTTCCTAAAATATATAACTTATTCCACTTTAATCCTTAAAATATAACTTTATTTCTATTTTAGTCCTTAAAGTATATTCACTTAAGTCTAAAATCTATTCCGCTTCCTCAATGATTTTAATTAAATGGGATAAAATTTACAATTTAAGAAATAAAGTTTCTCATTTTAAAATTTAATGATCAAATTGAAAATTTTGGTATAGTTAAATGGTGTAATGTGGAATTACCCCAACAAATAAACTAGGAAGTAGAAAATAAATAAGAGGAAAATACTATTAAAAAAAAAATTCCAATTCTCCATCTATCTTGCACCCCTCCCGGAGATCACAGACCACAAAAGGACACAGAAACAACAAAACCCCTCAGCTCCCAAGAAAAGGAAAGGAAAGAAGAGAAAAGAAAATGTTACTACTGGAAAAATCAAATGTTCACACCGCAATTCTTTGTTTGCTATGAGTGACCACGAATTGTAGAAAATTTCACGCCTTCTCCGTCCCATTTTTTCTTCGCAAATTGCAAAAAAGCCACTGTAGTTTGATATCCAGTGGAAGTTGTCTGTGTAGTAGATTGTAGTATCAGAATAGAGAGAGAAGCAGAGGAGTAGAGATGGCGACGGCAATTAGAACAGGGATAACTACCCCGAGTGGGATGAGCATCAGCACGGCTGCTTCGCCAGCACCTTCTGCTTCTTCTTGCAATCGGGTGGTGGCTTTTTTCAAGCCTCCGCCGTCTAGAAGTTCTTTTTTCGGTCATGGAGGTAAAGAAGAAAGCTTTCTTCGTTCCTCTGCCGTCCCAGTTTCATTTTCTTTCTTCATATATGAAAAACCCTGCCCCTTTTCAAATTTGTGTATCTTTTTTCTAGTATTTTTCTGAAAATGGGATTTTGATACTTTTAGTTAAAAAATTTGTTATTCCAATAGTTTCAGCATCAGTTGTTCTGCATTTGACGATAGGTGTTTTGGTTGATTCCCAGTTGTAATCTTCGATTGGGTATTAGTTTTTGTGTTTCCAGTTCTATTGAACTTTTTATTTTGGTTTTTAATTTTCGCAATATTATCTGACTGAAGCCTCCCCCCCCCCCCTCCTCTCCAACCCAATCAGCATTGTAGATTGGAGGTACAAACTTAGTCTTGTATGATGTGTTAAGGTGATGAAGATAGAATTTGCATAGTGTGTATATCCAAATTTTTGGACTTTTTATTAATTTTTCCATTGTGTGTATATCCAAATATTGAACTTTTTATTTTGGTTATTAATTTTCGCAATATTATCGGATTGAAGACTCCCTTCCTCCCCCCACCCCCAATCAGCATTGTAGATTGGAGGTACAAACTTAGTCTTGTATGATGTGTTAAGGTGATGAAGATAGAATTTGCATAGTGTGCATATCCAAATTTTTGGACGCTAATTTCGCACTCTTTTTTGTGTGCAATTGGTGGTATTCATACTTTTACATTTATATAATTTGGTCCTAAGTTGAAAGATAATCTCCTACCCAAAATCCAGATGTTTGCAAGAGATTCCTACTTCAGTGCAGAAGTGACAATTTGTATATAAGACTTACCTGAAGATGTATCAAGTCCACCCTGGTTTTTAGTTCCGAATACTTGGGCAGTGAATGAGTATAAATGCCCAAATTAAGATAGCCTTGGAGAAAGTCTCTCCTTGAAGTTACATTTAGCTCATGAAAAATGTAGTATTGAAGAACTGAAGTAGGTGTAAGCTATCTGTTGCATTCAACTAAAAAATGCAAACAAGGAACCTTGCAGTTTGTAAAGTATTTTATGCATCATTTTAGGCATTGTAGGTCCATATTTTTCCCACTTTCTCTTTTATTCTTTAAAACTATTTCTTTTTTGTTTCTCTAGAGATATTTTATCCTTTCTTCTGATAAAAAATGCATTCCCTGCTTTGCAGTGGGAACTACAAGATTTATAGGGTTGCAACTCTCTCATTCAACTCGATGCTATTACAGTGGTCATGGTGGTGGTTCTCTTGGCTCTCAGATGAACCTTTTTGACAGATTTGCTAGAGTAGTTAAGGTTGTCTAGTCGTTCAAATAGTTCCTTTGATCCTTCTTTGCTGCAATCTTATCTTATTATGCACAACTGAGACATATCCTCTTCTATTATTCTGCCACAAGTACAGTCCTATGCAAATGCAATCATAAGCTCATTTGAAGATCCAGAGAAGATCTTGGAGCAGACTGTGCTTGAAATGAACAATGACTTAATAAAGATGAGGCAAGCTACAGCACAAGTAATATTCTTACCAGTATAATGGATCAATATTTTTTGGGGAAAATTACTGTCAGCACTTTACTGCATCAGGTTGTGAGTTAGAGGCTTGATGCGCTTTTCTTTTGTTTCTATGAAGGTATTGGCTTCACAGAAGCAGTTAGAGAACAAATATAAAGCTGCACAGCAAGCATCTGAGGATTGGTAAAGACCACGAAACAATTAAAAGAAAGAAAAATTGTATCTTGTTTGTTCTAGTAGCTCTGGGTTCACCTTTCAACTTTATCACAGGTATCGAAGAGCACAGCTAGCACTTGGAAAAGGGGATGAAGATCTTGCTCGTGAGGCATTGAAAAGGAGGAAGTCTTATGCTGTAAGACCATCTTGTTTCAAAGATTATTTTTGAGTTAAAAGTGGATGATGGTTTTGTGAGGCTTTGCTAATGCTGAAAGAAAAAAGAAAAAAAGGTCTACATTTTTTATGGACATAGTTTTTCAGACAACAGATGCTTTGAAAAGATGAGCCTTGTGCCGATGTAAATGGGTGGCAAAATCTGAATAATGTGCTTTGCTGCTTTTAAGTTTCCTTTTCTATGTCAAGAAATATGCAAAAAATCTAACAGTGTTAAAACTTGTACAAGAGAAAAGTTAAACGAAAGATTGTTGTTCTGTTCACATATTTATATTCTTGAGTTGCCTTTTTAATTTCTCCATTAGTGACATTTTAGATACCCTGCGGTGCGAGTTCTTGATCTTGCCAGTTTTTGCACATACTGCATTGTGTTGATGTTCCTTCTTTTGGTCCCATGTATTGTCTGTGTACTGCTTAAACAGCTTCAGTTGAATTTTTGCTCAGGTAGATGCGTGCATTTATTTATGAGATAATATTTTGTTCATAACTGATACAGATGGCTTAAAGGACAGTATCAAAGTTTCCTTTCTTATAAGTCATGGTGTGTGGTGTGTTCTCTGGTTTTAAGCTGTGCATTTATCTGTCTATAGATTGAATGATTCCCAAACTTTTCACTTCAAACTACAGCATTCTTATTGGACTAATTCTGTATCATGTTATTATTTTCCTCTCAGAAACCTATGTGGTGTTCATATGAATTGTATCTAGTGTGACGGTGATGTTACCACACTTTTCTTTGGTCTGACTAGACCATTGCACTTTTCTCTTATTTCAAGTTCACGAGAAATAAACTAACCACATTAGAGCTTTTTGTTGACTTTGAAAATGCACTTTGGAATGGGTCTTACAGATTCCTGATGTGTGTGCTCATACGACATTTTACTTGTTAAGGTCCAAGCATTGCAGAGCACTATATTTGTACTGATTTCAAATTCATAACCTAGTAGTTTGTGCTAGTGAGAAGCCAGTGGTGAAGAACACTATGTAAAGTCTGTGAGTCATTTTAAATTTCAATTTTGGTCAAGAGTTGCACAGAATTTCTCTGTGTCATGTTAAGTCCTTTATCATTGTATAAAGTATGCAAAACATTTGATTGTTTTTGAAGCGGAAGTAAAGTTTGTTAGTAAAGTGATTATTGTTTTGGGATGTTTTTCGGTTGCAGGATAATGCAAGTGCTTTGAAAGCACAACTTGATCAGCAGAAAGGAGTGGTTGAAAACCTTGTCTCAAACACACGGGTGGGTTGTTTTTCCCATGCACCATGAAGCAGATTCTATGCTATTTGCTCATGACCCTTTTTGAAACTTCCCAACTATTGTTGATACAAAATTTTTTTTGAAGTGAAAAAGAATTTTCCATTGAAACCTCAAACAGGAAAAAAAAAACGGTCAGCAAGTTTTCTAGAGATTGGAATATCAGAATAGCTACTTTTTGGGACTTGGGTTTCTTTTAGGAATAGAAGACCTCAAGTTTACAGGAATCTGAGGGCATCTTTCATCCAAGCCTTGAATATAGCATCCCTGAACTACCTGCATATTTTTGGTGACTGCATGTAATTTGTAATGATTTTCATAGTGACTGAATTCCTGTACCAGGATTTGGTAGTAATAGATTTATGTAGCTTTACATCCATAAATCCGTTCCACTGATAGCTTCGTCGATTGATGATTAAATTTATCAACTGATGAATGTAGGACTTGCCAGGACATTTTTCTCTAACTGTTTGTGTGATGTATTTACAGCTTTTAGAAAGCAAGATACAGGAAGCAAAGTCAAAGAAGGACACTTTAAAAGCACGTGCTCAATCTGCAAAGTCTGTTCTTAACCTACATAACGTGCTTTTGTTTTTTCTCTTCTTTGGATGCACAATATAGTCCAGATCCTGTTAAGTTTTATTTTTCATTTATCCTTTCTCATTTGTACGCCTTTGTCTCGTTTAAAGGACTGCCAACAAAGTTAGTGAGATGCTGGGGAACGTAAATACAAGCAGTGCTCTGTCAGCATTTGAAAGAATGGAGGAAAAAGGTTAGAGTTTTTTGTTGGTGTAATTGGTTTGTGCTATAGCTGCAGATTCATGCAAAGATGTTGATGCCTATGTAATGATACACCAATTTGTTTTCTTGGCATATCTACCTGAAATCTGTTGTTGACAAACGAATGCATTCAAGTTGAGAATGGTTGCCAAATAGAGATGTTGGTTTAACATGGTTGGTTGTGGGTGTGAATGTCTATGTCCAGTTAATTGAGGTGCTGATGTACCTGGGATACTGGATATTCTTTTTGGTGTCTCTGCTTGTTTGTTGCGGGTGGGGCAATAGAGTATTTAAAGATATGACTGAGGATTCCAAGTTTTAGCTTCCACAGACAGATGCTGTGGCAGAAAATCCTCTGTTCTAGAAGAATTATTTAAGTGATTTTTTATGAATTTTAACTTGATTCGTTAGTAGCTTGAAAAGAACAATTGGTTTTTAAGGAGAGTAAAATGTATAAATGGCCTAAAACATGTTAAATATGTGCCAATGAAGTGATAAATGAATAATGCATGATCAAAATAATAAAGTCCTGTATGCAATGCAGCTAGAGATGAACTAAAATGTTCTTTTGGGGACACAAAACCCATATGTATCTAATTTTGGTTCTAACTCCTAAATTTTAGAGGAATCTTTTATGTCTTTATGAGGAGAGGACCACCCCATCACATCTAATTAGAATTATGGGAATATCTTAAACATGTTGGAAAATTCTTTAGGGCTCTTATTGCATTTCTAAATTAAGCTGGGGGTTCTGTCATGCTTCAGTTTAGATGTTTGTAGGTCCTAAAGGAATTTTCAACTTTTCTCACTTAATGACTCAAAATGGAACAAAACAGAAAAAAGAAAGGAAAAATAAAAAGTTTTTGAGCTCATTACTTCCCTGTGGAGATTACTTCTGACTATAGACTAGATGGCAGATGCAATCTGGTCTAGCCATAGTTATTAAACCCAGCCAGGCATGGCGGTTCAACTGGTTAACTCAGTGAACCGGCCATCAAGCCCTGCTGGGTAACTCATGTGACCTGATAAGGATGGAGGCTGTTGACTTTTTGAAGAAACGGCGGTTCAATTGGCTGAGCTGTGAACCTGGCTCAGGCTTTTGAGTGAACCGATGGATCTTGGATTTAGTGGAAAAAGGAGAAGCAAGTGGTCTCTTGCAAAATTTGGACACTAGACCTTCGGCATACCATAAGAAGACTCTGCCACTAGGCCACCAGCACTTGTTGTGTTAGTTGAAGCCTTTAAGTTTTGCGTTAAACTCAAATATAGCAATAAATGTTGTTTGAGGCCTTCAATTTATTACTACATTGAATATCAAAATCCTATTTGCCATAAGTGCTGGTTTAAGCCTTTAAACTATAGTTTTAAATCTCAAAGTCCTATAACCCCTTCTTTTAACTTCAAACAACCTCTCTTCAAATACTCATTAAAAGCTTTTTGTCACAATGAATTACCAAAAATGATACATTAACAAAATTCACTCTCAAGACAATAATTACTCCAAATTTCATGCGTGTAAATTTGTAAGTATGATATAAGTAAAATTTTATATTTAACAGTTAGATGAATTGTTAACCAAAAATATTTTATTCTGACTGTCAATGTAAATAATTATTTTAGATTTCATTCAAAATTAAAAAAAATTGCTATTACATATTTTACTAATTTTTTAATTTATATCTTGTACCAAAAACAATGAAATACTAAACGTAATGGTATTATAATGATTCACTGGTTCAACCACCCCTCCCCAACCCACTAGTCGAACCAGTAACCTATTGACCCGCTCCCTTTACCGAGTACCTTCTGGGCTGGGTTTAATAATTTTGGGTCTAGGAATTCTTTCCTTTCTGATTTACTCTTTTTGGTCTGTTATCAGTCATATTTTTCAGAAGTACTTTCAGTATCTTTTCTGCTAGACGAAAGTAGGCATTGGGTTCTTTTTATAAAATGAGGGCCAAATAGCAAATGTATAGGTAAACAGATAATGATATGCAGGAGTTTGTCATTGAGCAAGTTCTTTGTACTTGTGGATGTTTGGGTGAATTTAACTTATGAAATTCATACACCTCGATAAAGTTGTTTAACAAGTTGTCAATTTTTGTCTCTGATTGGTTGTTTGGGGGCAAGAAGAGTTATTGGCAAGAACGTTTATTGAGTTAGAGTTGGGGAATAATAGCAACAAGGGAAGAAGGAAGGAAACTTGTTTATTCTGTTCAGCAGGCAAAGAACAGCAATGTTGTTGCTAGGTTGTCTTGATTATTTGAAATTTTACCACTGACATTTTATTTTTATAATTGTTGTCCCAAGACTATATACCTGAATTATACCACCTGAGATGAGCCTTCTCGGTTCGCTAGACAAATCAATGTCACTTATACTTCGATGAGTTGCTTTCTCTTGCCATTTCTTTGCTGGTTGTTTGATATTTCTTTTACTTTTTGTAGCATTCTTTGTTGTCACATTTTAGATTTACTGCAAGAGTGAATATGCATGATTTCTTTAATTCCCTTAGTTGTTTTGGGTGACAAATGAAGTTGCTTTTTAGGATTATGGTGTTCATTTTTTCTAGTTGGTTGTGGTAGACAGAGTTTTTTTTTTTTTTTTTTTTTGGGTGGGTGCATCAATACAGAAATAAGTGGGTTTTGACCGAACCTTTCACATCTTTTTGGTAGTCATGGCATTGGAATCTCAAGCAGAAGCACTCAATCAGCTAACAAGTGACGAGCTTGAAGGGAAGGTAGTACCTCTTTGATGTGATTCTATGTTTTTTTGTTCTCCTTAAGTTCTTCTACAGTTCTCTGCGCCTACTGTAATAACCCCCTCCTATAAGTGACTACCAGTTTGTGTTAGACATTAATGAGAGAATTTGTGGCCTTTCTAAGCTTCTTGTTTGGATGGTGGAAATGGGAAGGAATTCAGATATATCTGGGGCGTATTTAATTGTAGATAGTATGTTTTGTTCCATCTAGATAATCTTCAGACTTTCTTTTACATCTAATTACATGTGTCAGTGTAGATGGTTTCTCTGATTCTTTTACCTAAATGCTTTCTATAAGGTGGTTTTTAACTCCAGAAACTTTTCTTAACCAGTTTGCATTGCTGGAGAGTTCTTCGGTTGATGATGATCTCACCACATTGAAGAAAGAGCTATCTGGAAGCACAAAGGTAAGCTTTTCTGCATCTTTTATTTGTTGTAAAGCCTTATAAATCTTGGACCATAAACTTTCGTTCAATGATGTATTGCACTTCTAAGGTAGGTTTTGCCCTTTCTGGAAATGTGATTTTCATCAGACGGCTACTTTCTTTTAACTTCTCGAAGTTTGTTTTTTTTACCATTTAACTGTTGACATGCTCACTCGGACACAGAGTAATACGACAATTTTTCACACGACTTTTTGATGTCATCATAGCTAAGGTTTGTTGTTATCTACAAATTTCATGTGCTTAAGTTACAAAATTTAGCTACTGTTGCTTGATCCATGGTAACTCACTAAAAAATGTGAGTTTTCCAAAATGGAATCGAGAGCTTTTAAGCTGGCAAGTGTGCAGATTTTTATACTGTTGATGATTTATGTTCCCAGTTGTTAATGGTGAAGTATGACTATGGCAAGATTACTTGCTGTATAGGGTTTTGGCAGTCCATTATGGAACTCCAGCATGGTTTAATCTGTGATGTACCGAGTTTCTCATAGGATATTATGCTGCAATATGGGGGAGAAAGAACTGAAAATAATGAAAAAATGGAAAAGAAATGTTGACATGTGAATCAAATAACTTTGCGCAGCTTTGCCGTAGGACTGTAAACTTAATGACATAATTACAGAGAAGTTGAAAAGGGGACTTGTGGCCCTTATATTTTGCTTTCCATGTGGTGGTGGAAAGGCTGCCCTCTGCAACCGTGGCAACTTTTTCGCCTTCAGGAATATGCCCTTGAAGGTGTTTGTTATGTGTTTCGTTGAGCAGGGGTGCAACTATTTTCTTCTGATCCCTGTTTGATTGGGATGATTAATATTCATTATAAATTTTCAAGTATCAAACTCACAAAATTTTTTGTTGATCGAAGCAGAAAGGAGATCTACCACCTGGAAGAACGCCTGTTACTACGGGTTCAAGTTCTTCATTTCCGTTTCAAGATTCTGAGATTGAGAAAGAGCTGAATGAACTGAGGAGAAAAGCCAAAGACTTCTAGTAATACTTGGGTCTTTCAAAACGTTCTTCTGCAATCATCATTTTAACCGTTTGAATTCCAAGATCTGGTTTTGGAATAGGAATCCTATTCTGTGAAGTGAGCTCGAATTTGGGGAGTGCAAATGCAAAGGCAGGACCTCCATCTGTTAATTTATGCCTGTTGTTCATATACAAGAATTGACTGATATCTACATGTATATTGACATACAAGTACCCTCCAGTGCAATAGCCATCTACCATAATTTTTGCAGATGATATAGTTAAAATGCTCCTCTTATGTTGCTGATTATTGATCAATAGCCTAGATTTGCTCTACAACATGCCCATATTCATCCTTTTTGCTCCAAGGTGCATACGGCTGAAGTGCTAGACCCTCTCTTCTGCTCATTATCTGCAGTAAATTCAAGACAAGAATCCTATTGGCCGCACAAATTTATGCAGAAGTTAGCAGCTAACGTGATTCTGGAATCACCTATTGCATCATTTTCCCTGTTTGCGCATAAGGATGAGTTTACGATAAGGATTTTAAAGTGTATGCATATGAAGTGTTGTTCTGCGTCATTCATTTTTTCAATGACTTGAAAACATGTCCCCTTGAAAAGGTCTAAGCATATTTAGTATTCTTTCCCACTTTTACTTTTTGGGTTAAAGCTGAAAGCATTGAGCCCTCTAATGTTTGATTGCCATTTGTGCTTTTCCCACTTTGACAAATGATCAACACTAAGGGTTTAGCTAAAAGATAGTATTAAAAAGAAGATCTTTTATTTTTTTTTCTCTTTTAGAAGAATGCCCTTAAAAAAGAATTATTGGAACCACTTTAAAAAATTACACGCCCATTGAAGTCTATTGTAGAATTTAAAATAAAATCATTTCATGTACCAAAAAAAGAAAAACATAAAATAATTATCAAAAGGAATATATACTGTGTAGTTTTCACAACACAAAATTTTGGAAGCAAGTTTTGCTTACGAAATTCAGTGCTACTAATTAATTCAGATATTCAATTTTTCATTATCAAAAGCGTTTCAACATATTTAGATTTGAATACACTCAAACAAAGGTGAAGTGTTAAATTGGTCAAATTTGTCAATTGCAGAAAACCAATAAAAATTCATGAAGAATTATTATTATTAATTAAGCACCAAGTTAGACAAATTCAGCATTTTTTTCTTTAAATTTGTGCTGCTTAATTACGTAATATTAAAAATTGAATTTTAGCAAATGCTGAATATAACTATTTGGCCACCCAACGAGGACTCACATTTTAAATTTACAAGACTGACCACGAAGTCAACTTAATTAGGATTTCTTACTTGGGTTCACTTAGCAAAGCATAAAGCTAAGTCCAACTTGTAATACCTTCACTAGTTGGATTTAACTATTAACAATTTAACATCCTATTGTTTTCTGTTTCAAGTCAGACAATAACTTCAATCTATAAATACCGTCTCTCATTACATTACTTTGCACCACAAGAACTAGCTCAAGTCTAAACCCTTCTTGAAACATCCCAAACGCCAAATTAAGGCCTCATGGCACCTATCACTTGTGATTATGAGGTCACCTCCTCTGTCCCTGCTGCAAGGTTGTTCAAGGCCTTCATCCTTGATGACAACCTCATTCCCAAGGTCTTTCCACAGGCCATCAAGAGTGTCGAGATCATTGAAGGAGATGGAGGTGTTGGAACCATTAAATTGATTACTTTTGGTGAAGGTTAGTTAGTTCTACACATGCACTTAATCATTTTCAGGTCATTGAATATTTATCATTCTACGTAATAGTAAATCATTTATGCACATCGATTTTGTAGTGCATGCATCAAAACTAATGATAAACTTTAAATCTTATCTTTAGGTTGCCATATTAAGAGTGCTAAGCACAGAGTCGATGGACTTGATAAGAACAAATTCACCTACACCTATACTGTAACTGAAAGCGATGCCTTCAGTGCTGAGCTTGAGAAGATCACCTGTGTTATCAAAATCGAAGCCTCCGCTGATGGAGGGTCTATCTGCAAAACCAGCAGCACATACCACATCAAGGATAGCGTCCAGGTTACAGAAGAACAAGCTGAGGCAGGAAAAGAGAAAATTAAGTCAGCAAAAGAGAGGGCCTTGGCCATGTTCAAGGCTGTCGAGACCTACCTCCAGGCAAATCCTGATGCCTACAACTGATTAATGTGCTGCCAACTCCTCCAGAGTCAATCTGATACTTGTATGTTATGGTTTGATGGTGCTGTTTTGTCTGAATGCTTTTTGGAGTCTTGTATGTTTGGTTCAACTATATATTCGCAGTTAAGGCTCAGAATAAAATGCTGCTTGTATTTTCTTGTGAGACTAAATGAATCTTGTTTGAAACTGTGGTTCCATTGTTGTCCCGAAAAGCAATTTTGGTCTCATTTCATCATCCGATCTTGTAATGAAAAGATCTAAATGAATACTAAAAAAATTATTTACTAAAAACCAGCACCGTCGATTGGGAGAATCCATAAAACATCAACGGTGATACAATTAATATAAAAAAAAATGTCCTTATAAAACGAAATTTGAATGACTTGTTTACCATCTTTCCATGTCTTGTAAAATTGGTCATCTTGAAAAGCTCGAAGCATATTTACTACTCTGTTTTTACTTTATTCCTTATCTTTTAGTAAATTACAAAGGACATATTAATCGAAGTTGTATTTTGAAGGGTAAAGTGAAAAGATTAATTAAACAACTATTACTATCAGCATACGATTCGTAGAAATATAGATATACAAAAATAAAAGAAGAGCGACAACTAAGAGAAATTAGTAAAAAGAGCACATTCGAAGCCTAAATTAATGAATAAGAGAAAGGCTCAATCTCAAAAGAATCTAATAACCATTTGAGAACAGGTACTTTATAATCTCGAAAGATGCCGGATGCATAGGTCAGCGTTCTCAAAACAAACTTTAGGGCACATTGGTTTAGTTTTTGTAAAAATTTCATTGAGATTCCAATTACTAGACTGACTAGAAATCAAAATGATTCCCCAAGCCATCCATGCATATAGCAAGAAATTCAATTACATGAGAACTAGCAATTTAGCACTATATAATTAAAACTCATCCCCTTCATTAGTGCAAAATACTAGAAAGGTAGCTTAATTATTGGGTACTAGGCTATGTTTCTAAACTCAGACCGGGCCGACAGGTTCGACCGGTCGAACCAAGAATCGGTCAAGTGTCTGGTCCGAGTTGTACTAAAAAATCAGAGGGATAAAGACTCTATCATACCCGGTCAAAAATCGGGTTTGACCGAAACCGATCGATTTGTGTCATAGTTTTTTTTTTAAAAGGTCAAAGCATTTTCAATATTATGTTTTGACCCCTGGGTTGTTAAAAATTATTAATATATCTCAAATATTTCATACTTTAAAATTGTTGTCCTAAAGTTTGGTGTTAATTTTCAATCAAGTTCATAATTTTAATTCTAAACTTGTTAATGTTCATTGAATAATATAAATTGCTATTTAATTGTTCTAATTTCTTTGTATTTTCTTGTTAAATATATTTGAAACATCAAATATATATATATATATATATATACCTTTATTAATCTGAACATGCTCTTAGGTATTTTACATACAATAGTTTAATTTTTAAATAATTTTTATTTATGACATCATTCGATTCAATTCCGATCGAAGCTAATGACCCCTAACCCCTGTGTTCGACCGAGTCGATACTCGGTCCGAGTCTGAAAACATAGGTACTAGGAGCAAGTTCTCGTAATCTCAAAATTTAAACTCCAGAATAGGTCTACCTTAGGGAATGTGTTTATTTATGAAGAAAACTATACTACTAGACTGTGACTGAAAACCAAAATAATTCACCCATGGCTGCTGGCCATATTAAGTAGCAAGGAATATTTGAGTATATAAGATATGGCACCATCAAGTCTAAGCTCATCCTCTTCAACAAGGTAGAGACCAGACCAGTACTTCTCAGGCTACTATCAGAGCCACTATTGTCATAGCTTGAAAAGATCATTACTACAAAGATTTCCAGGAAAAACCAACAAGAAATTTGCTGAAATCATATCAACTCTTCGCAGAAGAGGAGACGTAGATCCCTCCTATGACTTTTACCAATACCAAGGGTTTTGGATGCCTTTAATCTTCCTAAAACCAACCATTACCCTCCAAGAACATTGCAAGGTCAAACCCGAGGAAAATTTTTTTTTTCAGTTCTCCTAAAACAGGTACCACGTGGCTCAAAGCCTTGGCTTTCCTGTCATAACAAGAGATCGTTTCAACGAATTTACAAAACCTTTTCTTAAAACTATAACACATGAATGTCTTCCACTTATGGAAATTGATCTTGCCAGAGATCCTTCGTACAGAACATCCCAGCTGCCACTTTTGGCCACCCGTATGCCTTATACATCCTTGCCGAAGTCTATTCTTAAATCAGGAGGTAAGATTATTTACACATGCAAGGAGCAAAAGGATACATTCGCTTCATATTGGCATTTTTTAAACAGACTGAATCATCTCCACAGGGGGCCATATTCAAGTGAACCGGCCCTCTCCCTGGAGAAGGAAGTGGGCTGTTCTGTGAAGGCAAGTCAATATATGGACCTTACTGGGACGATGTCCTGGGATTTTGAAGAGCCAGCATCAAAGCTGGGTTGTTCTTGAAGCATGAAGTGTTGAAGAAAGATGAACTGTTTTACGTGAAGAAAATGGCGGAGTTCATGGGGAAACCATTTTCGAAGGAGGAAGAAATTGAAGGTGTCCCTGAGAAATTTATAGGGATGTGCTTTAAAAACTTGAGCAATTTGGAGGTGAATAAGAGCAGTATTTATAATTAGGGTCGGGTGAATAACAGTTCATTTTTCAGGAAAGGAGTTATTGGGGATTGGAAGAATTTTTTGAGCGAGGATATGAGAATGATGATAGATCAAACTACAGAACAAAAGCTGCAGTTTACAGTTTACAGGCTTCACATTTTGATTCGTGTTCAGAATAAGTAACCTAAGGCAAAAGTGATGGAATGAGACAAATTCAAAACCAGCACTGCTGTATTGTTTGGTATCCTGTGGAGTCTCGTATTTATCTTTTGTTGTTGCTTTTCTATGTGCGCGACTCATAATGTTTTCACGTTTGAGTCCATTGAAAGTGATATGTTTTTCATTTATGCTAAAATGTTTTTCATCCTTAAAATATTCAAAACAAAATAATTTATGTTTCTTTACTTTGTCCCCTTTTTTTTTGTGAATGACAATGGGTCATACCATTCAGATTTTAAATTTTAGATGGTCTAATTTGAAGAATCTGAACACATACATACAACCATAAACATACTTATTATAAGGTTGAATTTCCCCAAAAAAAAAAAAGACAAACAATATGAGACTAAGGGAGTAAGAATTGGAGAAATCAGTGAAAAGGGCACGTTTGTAGCCTAAATCAAAAAAGAAAAAAGAAAAAGAAGAGGCTTCACAATCTGATTCCATGCTCAAAATAATAAACCTAAGGCAGAACTGATGGAATGGAACATCGTCCTTGATTTTTGTTTACCAAATGCTCCTACTATCTAAAGAGCAAAAGCAAACAATAATCTGAAGAATTTCAGAATCCTTCCCACTGCTAAGCTGTTTAGTGATTCTTGCGGAAGTTAGTAGACTTATTTCTAAACCGTTCTACTGCTTGATCTTTAGTTGTAGCTTTTCTATATGTGAGAACCATTTATTAGGCATTTCCCGGCAGCAAGCCTGTTACTGTACAAGTATTTTTATGGATCTCTAACACATTCATAAGGTAACAATTTAATCCCAAATTTCACGGGAAAATTGCGCAAAAAAAAAAAAAAAGTTGCTTACACTTTTATCTTTTCCAAAACTGTCCAGGATAGTTGGAAGGAGGTGATTCGTAAACAAGCCTTTCTGTTTGAAGTGATAGCTTGTTTTACTTTGAGTTTTGTGCCCTCTCAATCTATTCATACTAATGGTGCATTTGACAAAAATAGCTCAAAACGGCACTTAGAAGTTAGAACCAAACTATCATCATTGATTTTGGTATTTTCTGCACCAAAGTACATTATTTGAACATGTGAAAGACAAGATAGCTAATAACGTTTAGGATCATTAATGAAACTCCCGATTCCTAAATACCTTGTGCGAGTTGGATGCCAATCTAAAATTGTATTTCAAATATATCACGAGTACATGTATTTTAACAATGCATCAAGGGTTAATCACAAAAAATTCCCACTAAGGTATAGTTATATTTGTAATTTACCTTCTGAACATTATTTTTGCTCACTTAATTCCCTAATAGGCCAAACTACCCTTTTATTATACTAATATTTTTTCTTCTTTCTTTTCTCAATTAATCTTAAATCGTATTTAATTTTGATCATGTATTAGTGGTAAAGCACCAAAGGAAGGAAATAGATTTATTGGAAAATATATTTATATATGATTACTTTTAAAAAATAGTAAAGCAAATACCCTAATAAGCAAAAGTCTATTAGAGAAAAATGAACATAAAGGTGTCGAAATAGTTTGAATGTAAATGTTATTGTAAAAAAAAAGAGTAACTTATTTTGAATTGTTTATTTATGAGGATATGAAATGAAAATTTTCTTTTAATTTCTTGGTATGAAAAATTGATGAAAGTAATCAGAATATAATTGATATGTAAGACTATATATAGTTTCTTAATGTTTGTAAGTTAGAGGATAGACATCTTAAATTTTTGGTAGGATGGATTATGACAAATAAAAGGGATAAAAATTGATGTAGAATTGCTATATGTAAAAAAAAAAAAAATATAGCATAATTTTAATTAAAATTTGATTCTTTGACAAATACAAATTTTTAGAAAGGAAATTAATAGATAGAGTAATCCTTTATTTGCTCAAAATATATTTTTTTAAAAAAGAATAATCTAAGAAAAAAAAAGCCGAGAAAAAAGAAAAAAAATTAATATAATAGAGTATAGTTTTGTCTCTTAGGAAGTTAAGTAAAAAATAATAATAATAAGGGTTACTTGCACTTTATCCCCTTTACGTATGAGCCATTTCTCAATTTAATGCCCAACATTTGTTTTTCCACAGTTTATGCCAAAGACTAACGGTCAACCCTAACGGAGATAAACAGAATAATGAAAATATAGTAATACCCTTAAGAAAATAATGAACAACCCAAAATATCCATATCTCTAGGTTTATGAAAGGGATAAAGAAAAGTTTCCAAAATTTCCCTAGAATAATGGAGGAGGGAAATTTCCCTCCATTTGGCACATGGGACAAAAAAAAAAAAAAGAAATTCGGAAGATAAAAGGTACAAAACCTTTTCTAATTGTAGGTCATCTTTTCTCTCTCCTCTATCAGCTACTTTTCCTTCCATCTTTTCTCTCTCCTCTATCTATCCATGAAAAGTACCCACATACATGCTGGTTCTGAATAAAAATATAACTGTCTAAAACTCTTTTTGACTTATTCATGTATAGAGCAAAATTAAAGACAATAATAACAGATTATTAATGAAAAATTCTTACATTGTAATTTGAGCTGCAGTAAAATCTTTTTCCCGGATTTTCAAATGTCCAAGAGGTGCACAATGGTGCCTCTTTACCATATCCACACATTTTTTGGGGCGATCTTTCAATGTTATTTGAAGCACTTTGTGACATTTTTATGATACTTATAGTTGACAAAGAAAAATTTTAGGAGTTGTTGGATCTATTGAAATGAAAGAGAAAAACTAGGCTGCAACTAGATGGAAGCATGAAAGATAAAAAAATAAGCTAAAAAGCATCAGACATCCCTTTTTTTAACTCATTGAGGGATATTTTAGTCAGCCTAAACAAACGGCTCTCTTCCAATGGCAATTTCGGCATCTTGAAGTTTTTAACGGTGCAATTGCTTAGTTGGACTGACGGAGGGGGTAAACTATGAAAAAACAAATGTGGGAAGGGGGTAAATTAAGAAATGGCCCATACTTAAAGGGGATAAAGTGCAATTAACCCTAATAATAATTAGGGGACGAACTGCAGATCTACTTATATCTTAGGGGAGTTTTTGTTATGGGTATCACCATGTGTCCTAACTCCAAACTCAAGTCTTGGGAAAAAATAATAAAACATTAGCTTAATTTAAGAGAAATACTAATAAGTACCACAAGAAGTAATGTCATCAATGCACTGCTTAGTTGTGGTACTTATTAGTGTGGAAAACTGATTCAGAAATTTCTCAATCTAAGTTATCAACATGGCTTTGTTGATCAACATTCACCTTCTTTCCCCAACCATTGCTATTGCAACCTTTCCCCTTCCCACCTCCAACATTTTTTTCCCAGCAACTCATCTCCTTTTGCTCTCCGTCTTCCTTTTCAACTTTTTCAGTGGTCTTATCTATAGATACATGTACAACATAATAGTTCATACTAGGAAAGAGATATACGTTCGAGTGGTTTATTATTTAGTTTCATAAATCAATTTGGAGCTTTTAATTGGGATTTGATTGCCTTTTACTTCGAAATTTTATTTGTGGCCTTAGGGACAGTCTGGAGAGTTTAAGACTGTTGGCAGACCCTTTCACGTAGCGCATTGTTGGAAATGGAGTTAACGCTAGCCTTAGGGCCTTTATACCAATGTTCAGTTTTACTGGAAACTTGTTACATAGTTTTGGTTGCAGATCCACTGCTCTAGTATCTGATAGTATATTAATTATGGATGGAGGATGGAAATAGCCAATAGGAAGAAGGGTAACAACTGAGGTCAGGACAATGAAGAAGAGTTACAACTTACAACTCGTAATACTCTAATAATGACTATGCCTGATTTTGAAGACCAACTTATTATACGGACAGGTTTCTCGTCTGGATTGTTTACTACTAAGTCTGCTATGAAACTTTTTAAGGAGGAGTCAAGGGATCACTACTAAGGATTGGACAAAGCTGAAATATCTGGGGCAAGGGATGTGTGCCCAGGTTTGCCTTTATACTATGGTTTGCTATTGCAAACAAAGGGATGCTACTAGGGATAGATTAAAGCAGGGGCGCGGATCTACGGTGGGGGCACTGGGGTCCTCTTAAATTTCTATAGTATTCATAGAATTTTGATATAATTTCAAGTGTGTCCTCTGAAGTTTTGTGTATCCATTGGATTATATGCTCCTAAAGTTGGTTTTGATTTTGTCTGTTACTACAGTTACCATAGAAATGGCTTTTTCAGTTATGAATATAGTGAAAAATCGGTTACGAAATAGAATGGGAGACACTTGGATTAATGATTGTTTAGTTGCTTACATTGAAAAAAATATATTTCGTGAAATTCAAAATGAGAAGGTTGTAAATCGTTATCAAAATATGAAAACTCATTGTGAGCAATTGTAAATAATTTAGTTTGCTTTTTGAAATAAAATTATTATTACATTAATAATTTTGAGTTTATCATTTTATATTTTTTATGGAATATATGCATCATTTATACTTGTTGATGAATTTTTTTTGCTTAAAAAACTAGAAAAAAATTTAGAATTACTTTTGCTCTCAATGAGAATTTTTTCTGGCTCTGCCACTGTTTCGTAATATTGAAGAGAAGAGCATACAGCATCTGGTTTTTTGATTGTGCATTCACAACACAAGGGCAGCACTTGGGGATGCTCAAGAACAGAGGCAAAAGATAAAGTCAACACTTATAACATGGGATTCTACGTACCTGCTTCACATGGCATTTTGAAGTAAAAACAAAAAGAACTCAAAAAAATGGGATTCTACGTACCTGCTACACATGGCATTATGACATGCCCACATGGGATTCCACGTACCTGCTTCGCATGGCATTATAAGTAAAAAAAGAGAGAGTAAAAAAAATAACAACAAAGTCAACGCATTTGACATGTGCACAACAACGAATGGTGAGGTTCAAACGCACCCTTAATTAGTTTATTTATAATGGAAATTTCGTTGAGGTTCCCATGAGTAGACAGCTACAGTTTATTTATAATGCCGCTGGCCATATATGGCAAGAAATTCAATTATATAACCGTTGGCATTTTCTAGTTTCAGCTCATCCTCTTCAACAACAGAGTAGAGAGCACAGTCCACCTCTCTTTCAGCTACGTTACCAGCAGCATAGCCACATTTATCGTAGCTTCAAAAGATTTGAGAAAGTAGTCTATGGAAACCAACATGAGATATCCCGAGATCATATCAGCTCTTCCCAAAAGAGAAGGCTTAGCTCCCTCCTTGGACTTCTATGAATACCAAGGTTTTTGGTTCCCTTTAGTCTACTTAGAAGCAACCATCACTCTCCAGGAACATTTCAAGGCTAATCCCGAGGACATCTTTTTGTGCAGCTCTGTCAAAACAGGTACCACATGGCTCAAGGCCTTGGCTTTTTCCATCTTAACGAGAGATCGTTTTATGCAGTCCCCAAACCCTCTGCTTAATACCGTTCCGCATGAATGCTTTCCACTTATGGAAGTTGATCTTGGCGACGATCCTTCGTACAGAACACCCCAGCTCCCCCTTCTAGCCACCCATATCCCTTATACATCCTTGCCAAAATCTATACTAGAATCAGGATGTAAGATTATTTACATATGTAGGGAACCAAAGGACACGTTCACTTCATATTGGCATATGTTACAAACATTGAAACATCTCTCTGCGGGGCCAGATGCAAGGGAACCGGCCCCTTCCCTGGAGGAGGAATTAGAGATGTTCTGCCAGGGCAAGTCTGCATTTGGACCTTGCTGGGACCATGTCTTGGGGTTCTGGAGAGCTAGCATTGAAAGGCCCGAGACTGTGCTGTTCTTGAAGTATGAAGAGCTGAAGAAAGATGAACTTTTTTACGTGAAGAAATTGGCTGAGTTCATGGGGAAGCCATTTTCCCAGGAGGAAGAGATTGAAGGTGTCCCCGAGAAAATAATAGGAATGTGCAGCTTCAGAAATTTGAGCCATTTGGAGGTGAATAAGAGTGGTTTTTATCAGAAAGGTCGGGTGTATAACAATTCATTTTTCAGGAAAGGAGTTGTTGGAGATTGGAAGAATCTTTTAACTGAAGATATGAAAGTGATGATAGATTGCACCACAGAACAAAAGCTGCAGTTTTCAGGCTTCACATTTGGTTCGTCTTCAGAACAGGAAACCGAAGGCAAAAGTGATGGCATGGAATATTGTTCTTGATTTTTGTTTCCTGTAATAATAGTACTGTGTGTTTGGATTGAAAATTATTTGAGATATTTTTACTGTAACACTTTTTGTGATGTGATGTAATATATATGAGATAAAAGAGTAATTAAAAAGATAAAAAAGTGTATTGAAAATTGTAATGATGGTATAAACAAATATATTTATTTGGACAAATAATCTCCTATCCAAACACACTCAATTACTTCTTTATATTTGAATATATAAATAGCATCATCATCTTTTTCATTTTGGAACTCACACTCGCTCACTGTCACTAAATCTATCATAGTCACTTGACTCGTTGCCATCTTCGTCTTGTTCCTCAATCTCTTGATTTCTCCATCCATTTGACCAGTGACTCTCTGTACCAACAATTGTTCAGTCAAGAGATCGATGACGGAATTTGATACCATTGAAAAGGATCTTGACTTCTAGTCTTGTCAATGGAGAAAACAACCTTGAAGAGTTCAAAAGTGCTTGATTCTGGATCAATCATCAAGACATTCAAAGGTTTACACCCCAAAAAAAAATATAAAAGGGAAAAAATGAGCATCAGACCAAACATGTCGGAACCACGTCAAAGGGACCAAAAGGGATGCCCAAAAGTTGCAGGAAAGTTTCCTTCGACAAAGAGAGAATGACGTCCTTTATAAATATTAAATACTGGCGGGCGCCGTTACCCGTTAACTATTGCAGTTTTGCCGTCCGTCGCATGACCATTTTGTCGTGGCGGCGGCGGTAACGAGCTTCTTTGCTTGCTGAATTCAGTGTTGCCAAGTTCTTTTTAGCGCTCAAGTCCTTCTAGTTTTTTTTTTGTACGTTTTTCATTTAGCTACGCTTTTTCAGCTTACATTCTTCATTCAAGCCCGTGAGATCTCCAACCTACCAAAATTACTATCTCCTACCGTTTTGTTGAGATCATTAATAGAGCCTTTAAATTGAATAGCACCTTCAACACTTGACAACAAGCAAAAACACGAGAAAACAGCACTATGACAAAACAAGAGCGTCAAACACAATTCTTTGTATTAATCCAAACAACTAAAACCAAATTTGTATCATATAATCGCCTCAATTTGTACATATTAAAGGAATGTTAAATTTGTTTACACAAGTAGATTCTAAAATATGCAACACAACAATTTTAAAGTTTTTACTATCTTTTCCATACATATTGCATGCATTTAGACCCCCAATATAATTCGACATACGACCGTGTAATTTTCACAACACAAAATTTTTCTATCACAATGTCCAAATGTCCATGACTTGCGTATGAGAGATGTTTTTGTCACATTTGAATCTCACATCCACTTATTGATGTTAATTTGAGGAAATACATTTTTAACAACAACAAAGTTTCGAATTTAATCAACATGGCGAGATTTTTGTTTTAATCAACATGTCCTAAGGGTGCGTTTGATAAAACTGAAATTTGAAATTTGAATCCATTAAGTTATTCAATCGTTACTGTCGCGCCCCATTTTTAAAAATGAAAAATAACGAGTGTTATAAAAATGAATCTTGATTGATTTTTGAATGAAAATCAGAGTTTGATTTATAGAAAATAAATAAAGAAAATGAGCCTAAATGGGATTTGAAAGTGCGACAATTTTGGCCCAAATTATAGTTGAAAAAAGGTTTTTAATAAAAAATAGAAGTCGTCACTTGGTATTGAATTAAGGTGTACCAAGTCACCTAAAATGAATTTTGAATAAAAAAAAAAGTAGAAAAACCCTTTTTAAACAACTCCAAGTTTTCGAAAATCAGAGAAAAGTGTTCGGGAGTCACATTTGAAGAAAGGGAAAGCAAGGATAAAATCTAAAACACCCTTTCAATCTAGCCAAGACTAGTTGCGTGATTTAGTCAAAAATTTTCTTATTTTTAACCTAAAAAATTATCACATTTGGACGTACTATATGAATGCAAACCCTAGACCTAATGTATCGGGGTCAACATGTCTCTTCGAATTTTAATTAGTGCAAATCGCATTAATTACGATACCCAAAAGTAATTATTTGAAGAGGTCACGAATATGCAAAAATATAAGATTCTAAGAAAAAAAAAGAAAATAATAATATACAAATATACATGATCTAAAGGAATGCATCATAATGGGAGCAACGAGCTAAGATTCGTGACTTCAATTTTCCCTTTTATAGAGGGAATACGACCATGCTAAGGCTAGAAAGCCAAATTCGTCCATATCCCATATTCGAGGGGTATTTTTCCTATCTAATCGTGCAAATGTACTAACCTAGTTCTAATTCTTAAATGAAATGCAAGGCTAACGTCATGTCTCACATGTAGGGATAAAGGATATACATATAGGGGAAATATGGGATAAGAGATATACATATAGGTGAATAAGGGATAAGGGATAAGGGATGTACATATAAGGGAAATGTCATGCAAAATGATAAAAACCCTAAAAGATAGATAATATGCATGCAAATGTAGTGATTGTTATACAAACATGATCTAGCGCGTGAACGGTCCCTAAGGGTCTAGCGTTGGATTAACCTATATCTATAAGTTCTCACTAGCATTGGACTAGCAAAAAATCGAAACAAAGAGTCACAACTAGCGTTGGACTAGTGTGGTAACGTCATGCATTTATTACAATCAAATAAATCATATAAAACATAAAATAAACAACCCATATTCAACAAATTAAAACAAACAAAGACCCAATTGAAAGAATTAAAAAAATTTAAGTGGTCAACTTATTATTATTACAAATATTAGGGGTCTAAATTAAAATAAAAATGAAATTGAGGGCTTAAGATGAGGCCTACCAAAACCAAATGTTAAACTTCACAAAATGAATGAAAACCCATTTGTTTCAATTAAACAACAAAATACCCAAAATTTCACTAAAAAGTTCAAATCATAAATCTCTCAAAAGCTATTAAAACCTTAAAATTCATCCTAAAATTTACAAGTTGTTTACTCAAAAAATCATATTAATCATATCAAAGGAGATTAACATTTTAAAGGGACAAAATTGATTAGATTTTTTCAATTTTCTGGGCTATAGTAGTATTAAGCAAGAATCTGGGGGTCAAAAAGATTTGAGTATAGGATAGGGGTAGCTGTTGCAGTTCAGGTTGACCAGCAGGTAAGGGATCATGTTGTACACCACCAGGTCGGCTGATGGTGTTGTTTGCAGACCCATCAGACGATTTAGGATGTGTACTCATGTTTACATTATTTCTCAAAACTTGGCTACGCGATCGTGTAATGATGGGGTTTCTTTGTGTAGCTATGTTTGCAATTATTTGAAAATCTGGGAAAAGTCCTAGTTAAATTCTCTTCTTGATTAACTGCTGACAAAAAGAAAAAGAAAAAGACAGGAGTTAGTAAAAATCAAAGTAATTCGGATGCATGTTCTATTGAGGAGCCCTTTTATGCCAAAGGTTGGTCTAAAATGAGAATGCGATCCTCTAGGATAAGCACTATACAATTCATGATGAATCCGATCAACTTATTGATTTAAATGAAAAGCAATTTGAAAAATTTGGCCAATTGGAGTGACAAGAGACATTTATCCTAACAAAATGAGGACAAAGCTCGAATGAATTGATTACTTTGATTGACACATAAAGTGATGTGTGAAAGAGCCTACTATCGAAAGGATTGCAATGTCTCGGCTAGTTGGATAAATAAAATGAGAATAACAAAGCTAACAAATAAATCTAAAAATGAATTAAATAAGAAATAAAGCTAAAAAAAATTAAATAAATGAAATTTTGGTGTCTATAGTTACATCCTAAATCGGATACATTTTGAGTGCATATCACATTAAGTGGTAAGTGAATAAATTATCACTTATTTTTAATAGCAAGTTTTGCCTACGAAATTCAGTGCTATTAATTAATTCAGATGTTTAATTTTTTGGTATCAAATGCGTTTCAACATATTTAGATTTGAATACACTAAATTTAAGTGCTGAATTGAATTATCAAACAAAGGTGAAGCCTTAAATTTCTCAAATTTGTCAATTGCAAAAAGCCAATAAAAGTTCATGAAGAATTATTATTATTATTATTATTAAGCACCAAGTTAGACAAATTCAGCATTTTTTTTCTTTAAATTTGTGCTGCTTACGTAACATTTAAAAATTGAATTTTAGCAAATGCTTAATATAACTATTTGGCCACCCAATGAGGACTCACACTTTAAATTTGCAAGACTGACCACGAAGTCAACTTAATTAGGATTTCTTACTTTGGTTCACTTAGCAAAGCATAAAGCTAAGTCCAACTTGTAAATACCCTCTCTAGTTGGATTCAACTACTAACAATTTAACATCGTATTGTTTTCTGTTTCAAGTCAGACAATAACTTCGATCTATAAATACCGTCTCTCACTACATTACTTTGCACCATAATTCCTCCACAAGAACTAGCTCAAGTCTAAACCCTTGTTGAGATATCCCAAACGCCAAATTAAGGCATCATGGCACCTATCACTTGTGATTATGAGGTCACCTCCTCTGTCCCTGCTGCAAGGTTGTTCAAGGCCTTCATCCTTGATGACAACCTCATTCCCAAGGTCTTTCCACAGGCCATCAAGAGTGTCGAGATCATTGAAGGAGATGGAGGTGTTGGAACCATTAAATTGATTACTTTTGGTGAAGGTTAGTTAGTTCTACACATGCACTTAATCATTTTCAGGTCATTGAATATTTATCATTCTACGTAATAGTAAATCATTTATGCACATCGTTTTTGTAGTGCATGCATAAAAACTAATGATAAACTTTAAATCTTATCTTTAGGTTGCCATATTAAGAGTGCTAAGCACAGAGTCGATGGACTTGATAAGAACAAATTCACCTACACCTATACTGTAACTGAAAGCGATGCCTTCAGTGCTGAGCTTGAGAAGATCACCTGTGTTATCAAAATCGAAGCCTCCGCTGATGGAGGGTCTATCTGCAAAACCAGCAGCACATACCACATCAAGGATAGCGTCCAGGTTACAGAAGAACAAGCTGAGGCAGGAAAAGAGAAAATTAAGTCAGCAAAAGAGAGGGCCTTGGCCATGTTCAAGGCTGTCGAGACCTACCTCCAGGCAAATCCTGATGCCTACAACTGATTAATGTGCTGCCAACTCCTCCAGAGTCAATCTGATACTTGTATGTTATGGTTTGATGGTGCTGTTTTGTCTGAATGCTTTTTGGAGTCTTGTATGTTTGGTTCAACTATATATTCGCAGTTAAGGCTCAGAATAAAATGCTG